GTATCCCATTTATAAATGTAAAGCACATGTCCATTTATTTTTTACATACATTTGCAAATTAGGTAACTAAATAATATCAAAAGTGCATCAAATACGGCTTACTTTAAATGCAAAAGATTTGAAGGATCTCACTTTAAGATATTAACTACACTACATTATTCAGGGTTTCATGGCTTATTTAGGTACAGGTAATGCAAAAAATCTATGTTATTTGAATCAATGAATTTTGTGCTTAGAATTTTGCCTGAAAGTAAGTCCATCATTGCTGCCACTAGAAGCATATGCAAAGCCATTCATGGAGTTGGCTTTGGTGCAGATTAAACTATTCCTTCTGGCTTACAGTTTATTGTTCTTGCTTTGTTTATCATCATTTTATTACCTAATTTTCCCCTTCCACCCATGAAAGTGGGAAATGAGGCAATGATAATGCATGTGCCTAATGTCTATGTATTCATTAGTCTTAAAAAATTATTAATTCTTATGAATATTTATATGATAAAATTGTACAAAAGTAATATGGTCGACAATAATTAATTTATTCTTATGATATTTTCAACACAATGCAATTACAATAAAATTCAATAGCCAGAATTAAAGTTCATCTTTGACCTTCCATTAATAAAAGGCAAAATTTCTGTCATTATGTACCTGGAACACTGTCAACAAGGCTGCCCAAAATGAGTTAAAATTACTCCTCTGTTCCGAAGTAAACTTTCCACCAAATATCTGCATCCCAAGGAGGGTAAAAATAAAGATGAAGAGGAACAGTATAACTAGGAGTGACATGATGGATCGACACTGGGATACAAGGGAGTGGACCAAGTTGCTCATGGAGTGCCAGTACCTGAAACAGCCAGAGGGACCATGGGGGGTTAGGGCACATGATGGTTAACACACAGCTCAACAAAACGCCCACATGAGCTCAGATTGTTCACTGGGAGAAACCTAGGATACTTTCAGAAATAACTAATTTAATAAATATGCTCCTAAAGTTCAATAACAACATACAGCACTGCATACAATTTCAAAGATAAAATTCACTATTACTGGGAAGATATAATTTCCTAATGTAAGTTCTGAATTACCACCATGTCATTAGAGACTATGAATGCCTTTTAACAAATTGTAGACAGTACAATTCATTAATATGTCTCAAACTTTTGGCCCAATTAATTTGGTAATTCTAAACATATAAACAAGCAAATATGAACTTGAAAGTATAGTTATGAATAGGTAAAAATAATTGCCTACCTAAAAATATAGCATTGAAGTGTAATGAATGCCTCTTTCTAGATGGCATCTAAGTAGTATTCCATGCATAATGGCACTAGAATCCACAGACCATACTGGACATGCCAGGCATCTGTGATGATAATCTTTGTCTACCAAAAGCAGGTATCATTTCTCATTCACTTGCATTCATAATGAGTCAGGTAGTGAGTGGAATTCAGACATCAACTCACTATTGAGGTAAAATGCCTTTGAAAAAGGAAGTGTCACAAAATGCCCATAAATTATGTTTAGAATATTTGGCAAAACCAAAAACTGCAAAGCAAATCTCTAAAAATAAATAGACTGCCAGTAGTTGATTGATTCACTGCCAATAACCAATAACCAGCTGGCCAGTTCACTTTTGAGTGGGTAGGAAGGTGCTCAAATGGCACCTTGTCACCATGACGTACCATGTACAATGCCAACCAACAAACCCGGCCAAGCACCAAAAATGGCCATGCAGCAGTGCAGCATGGCACACAGGCAGACTCAATCATGACTGGGCAACCAATGCCCCAAAACTCCTACCTCATCCAAGAGACATCACAAGATCAGCCCAATGCCAGAACTTGAACACTAACCACAGCTGAATGTATCTGGCGAAGTATACAAATACACACACCCACCCATGCCAAAAGCCACATGTGGGGCATGTCAGCAGCAAACAGGGCACTGTTGCAGCCATGAAGCAATGGCTAGCCCCCCCTATCCTTCCACAGAAGGCCCTGAAATCCAAAGCAGACTTCTCCAAGTCATGTGTTTGTGGATGACAGAAAAGCTACCATCTGCTTAACCCTCCCACCCACCACCCCATTCCAAAATGGGTGTCTGCCAACCAGGATGAAACTGGGACTTTACACCAAAGCCAAGAAACGGAAAAAGACCCATATGCAAATGAGGACTGTTCCAATTCAGATGCAAGATCTCAGCTTGGAAATAGATACCAAAGCAAAACCCACCAAGCCATACTTGAAGCACACAAAGGGAGAAGAGGCAAAATGAACATGAGCAGGTGAAACAAAAAAAAAAACATAAATAAGGACAGAAAATCAGCGTTGACTGTAATGAAAAGCCAGTTTCTGGTTGAGACCTGGAGGCTCCCTGGAGCTATACCGGGGAGCCTTCGGGTCTGATAAGCTCATTTTAAGCTTTAAAATGACGGGCCTGATAAGAAGGAAACCATGAGAAGGATGAATATGACAGACTGTAAAGTAAACTAAAACAAAACCTGAGAGAGAGAGCATCAAAAAAAAAATGCCATACAAGGAGAGGGTTAAGAAATCAACCCCTTGTAGCAAAAAGGTCCTCGTCAGAAGGGACGAAAGACCTTGGAGGGTCCAAGAAGAACCTGAGGACCCCCATTGGACTTCCTCCCACCAAAATCCAAAAGCTAAACATGAAGGCATCTGGGCAGAGCTGAAGTCTACACCCACCACACAGGACAGAAAAACCGGAGCACTGAGGAGAGATTTCAGAAGAAGGGGGTCAGCTAGAAAAGAGGAAAACAATAAAACCTTGGCAGGTCTAGGTGGCTCAACTGTCTCCATGCTCAATGTGGAAGAAGTCATCCCTGGAGAAGGCAGAGCCACATTACAAGCTAATCCCTACCCAGACAATGAAATTCTCAGATGTTTCGGAGCCAGAAGCCGGGGAAGGAACAGGTGCAGGGTGAACCACACCCAAAAGGGAAGGAAGAGGAGGCAGGGATGGAACCAAGGTGGAGTTCACCAATACCTCCAATTCTGGGTCCATAAAAACAAGACAGGCCAACTCCAGGGCATCCAAGCAGGCCCAAAGCTGGGAACACTGAATATGGGCAAAATTACCCTGCAAGGTGGCAGCTGCCATGATAAGTCTGCACTTCATTTGAAGGGTTACAGAGAGGAGTCATTTGAGGGGAACAAACCCCACAGAGCTCTTTGTCAATGGTGTCACCAAGCTAACAAGCAGCATGGAGGAGGCAGAAAGAATCAGCGCCATCCCATGGCATGGACTACAAACAGCCCTCAAACTTGCACCACCATCAAAAGCAGGTTTAGAGGGAATACATATAGGCCCCACTGAAACCAGCAAGGGATTCCCAGGGCCCAAAGAACTGACCAAACTGGGCATCCAGGCACAAGGGGTGCTCATCATGAATTAGAACAGCAGACCAACATGGATGTGAAGGCTGAACCATATGCCATGTAAATCAAGTATATGAACCCCCCAGTGTGCCTCAACCAACCTGTTTACCCCCTAACCAAGAGAAACTGATAATAGTGATGCCTACAGTCCACCAGCAAGCAACACATGGACAAAGGAGGAGCTGGATGACAAATGAGAGGTCCTCATAATGGTCATGAAAGAGATGTAAGATCAGATACATAAATCACGATTGTTGGTACTGGGGGACTTCAACTTGAAATTGATAGTGGGAGGCCTACAAAGCTAGACTGGAGGACATTTAGACTGGCAGATTCGAAAACCTCACCCCTGGAGACATTTATGTATCAACACGTTAAGTTAAGCATGTCACGAGAATGAGGGAAGGCAATGTTTCATCAATGCTGGATTTTATATGTACCAAGAAAGAAGAGCTTTTTGACATCCTGTACCTCCCTCCCTTGGGGAAGAGCGACCATGTCCTGTTGAAAATTAAATATGCAATGTGATATAATCTAGAAGTGAGGAAAATTTAAATAATGTACTATAGTTGAAAAACTTTGTTTCAGGTAAAGACACTATGGGGGAACTAAGCAAGTTCTTTAATGAATGTGATTGGGAACACATGTTGTTATGCAAGGAAGTAAATGAAATGTATGCCAAATTTTGTGAGATATATGATAAAGGCACAACATTTATATCAAAACATGCAGAACTAGAAAACAGGATTGATTCAACAGAAATTGCAAGTGTCCGAGAACAAGAGAAAAAAAAAGGGTTCAAAATAGGAACAGCTTAACATACCAGCAATACAAATAAGCAAGAAACAATAAGTGAGGAGAGAGACCGAAGGAAACTTTGAGAAAGGTGTAGCAGATAAATATAAAAACAGAACCAGGCATTTTCTATAAATTTATTAAAAGCAAGCTGCATGTAAAGGATGAAAGCCAGAGACTGTAAATGGGGGAACAGATTCACAGAATGAAAAGGAAATGTGTAAAACATTAAATGGACAGTTCTAAAGTGTTAGCAAAATGAAGTTTTCATAGAACAGCATAGAGTACATAGAAGTGTCTAGAAATGAAAGGGTAAGGAGGGAATGCTAAAGGAGCTAGGTAGAAACAAAGCAGTTGCCTCAGATGGAGTTTTACTTTGCATTCTGCGAGAATGTGCACCTGAGCTGTGTATCCCATTTAAATTGATTTCAGGCTTCTTTATGTACAGCAATCTGGGCAGATATATGAAAAAAGTACATCCTGAATTTTTCACAATACAGTACCTTTAAATGCACCCTTTCATAAAACTTGGGATAAATTGCACTCCACATAACAGTGAAATACAATTTATAATTACCATTTATACATACAAATTAATTAATACTAGTATTTAAAAAAATTCTCATGTTTTGTAATATCTTAAAAAAATAGAACATTATATTTTTTATGTACAGCTGTAATTACAAACTACATGGGGTGTGAACATATTCAAGCTAACATTATTGTTATAACAATTCACAAATCAGAAATTTCAGTATAGCTTGAACTGTTATTTTTTAATAATTTAGAGAAGATAAAAAGACTTACTTTGTAACTTTGAAGACTCTGAGGAGCCTGACACAACGGAGCACAGAGACTCCAAGGGGCGGCATTATTTCGGTAGAGGTAAGTACCACCTCAGTGATACTACTGATAACCACAAAGCAATCAAAACGGTTGAACAATGATACAAAGTAGCCCTGAAAGTAAAAGAAACATGGGTAGTCATACCTGTAATATAATATTAGTTACAAGTTTAGACATCATGTTTATCTTAATGTAAAAAATATTCCATTTCTATCAATCATATGGAGAATTGAAATTTTCCCCCTAAAGATATTACAAATTGGCGTGACTATTACATATGTAATTCACAACTATTTTTACGAAGGAGCAAAACTAATATAATGAACATAATCAAATACTGGCCCTGTGGTCAAATGATAAGCCTGGCTTTTCGCGAGCGCTTTGGCTTGGGTTCATATCCTGGCCGGGGAGGATTTATTGGGTGCCAATCCTTAATTGTAGCCTCTGTTTATCTAACAATAAAATGGGTACCTGGTTGTTAAATGATTTCGTGGGTCGTATTCCGGGGAACATTAGGATTAAGGATTTGCCTGAAATGCTATGCGTGCTAGTGGCTGTACAAGAATGTAAGAACTCATATACAGGTGTGTGTGTGTATATATATATATATATATATATATATATATATATATATATATATATATATATATATATATATATATATATATATATATATATATATATATATATATATATATGTCGTACCTAGTAGCCAGAACGTCGTACTCGGCCTACTATGCAAGGCCCGATTTGCCTAATAAGCCAAGTTTTCATGAATTAATGTTTTTTCGACTACCTAACCTACCTAACCTAACCTAACCTAACTTTTTCAGCTACCTAACCTAACCTAATCTATAAAGATAGGTTAGGTTAGGTTAGGTAGGGTTGGTTAGGTTCGGTCATATATCTACGTTAATTTCAACTCCAATAAAAAAAAATTGACCTCATCCATAATGAAATGGGTAGCTTTATCATTTCATAAGAAAAAAATTAGGGAAAATATATTAATTCAGGAAAACTTGACTTATTAGGCAAATCGGGCCTTGAATAGTAGGCTGAGAAGTGCGTTCTGGCTACTAGGTACGACATATATATATATATATATATATATATATATATATATATATATATATATATATATATATATGTCGTACCTAGTAGCCAGAACGCAATTCTCAGCCTACTATGCAAGGCCCGATTTGCCTAATAAGCAAAGTTTTCATGAATTAATTGTTTTTCGACAACCTAACTTACCTAACCTAACCTAACCTAACTTTTTCGGCTACCTAACCAAAACCTAACCTATAAAGATAGGTTAGGTTAGGTTAGGTAGGGTTGGTTAGGTTCGGTCATATATCTACCTTAATTTTAACTCGAATAAAAAAAAATTGACCTCATACATAATGAAATAGCTAGCTTTATCATTTCATAAGAAAAAAATTAGAAAAAATATATTAATTCAGGAAAACTTGGCTTATTAGGCAAATCGGGCCTTGCATAGTAGGCCAAAAAGTGAGTTCTGGCTACTAGGTACGACATATATATATATATATATATATATATATATATATATATATATATATATATATATATATATATATATATATATATCTATATATATATATATATATATATATATATATAAGTTTGTTTTCACCTCATCCAAAACTGTTGTAACATATCACCTCACCCAAATGCAGGTATATAAAATGAAAGCCGTTTAAATTATTAGCATAGTAGAACTCTGTTTAGTGTTTGTAGGTTATAGTTGTGTGTGTGTAAACTAAAGTCTTTGTAAATGTAATAAGGTATTACGAAGCGCGTTCAAGTGTCGCGTCAGACTAGAACTAAAAATGAATTTTGGAGAATTGATTTTTCAATTACCATCGACAGTGAAAAGAAACATAAGAAATATTGAGAAAATTCGTGTTAGAATTATTAATCTTACTTTTTCGGTCATATTTTCGGTCACGCATATATATATATATATATATATATATATATATATATATATATATATATATATATATATATATATATATATATATATATATATATATATATATATATTCTATTCTATATTCTATATACAGGAAATTCTACCTGACACCCTGAGTGATGTAGCGGGGATACAGGACCCCCACTACACGGAATGTGACACGAAATGGGGTGCCATGACAGACCCAGCACTCAGACCAGCCATGCCGAAAGCCAAGAAACAATCCAGTTGGGACAGCCCCATTGTAGACAAAGAAGCCACAGCTTTGCTGGAGGCAGCAACAACCCCCAGTGATCGTGCACGCCTCACAGCTGTGCAGGCTCCCCATGCAGGGGACTTCCTTCTGGCAGTCCCTATGTCTGCGACAGGCACACGTCTTGATCCGCAGGAGCTCCGTATTGCAGTCGCTCTCCGCCTTGCTGCCCCTATCCACACTGTTCACAGGTGTATTTGCGGCGAGGC